ACTTGAAAGGCTGCCATAAAAAAGATGGAGAAAAGTTGTTCTCTCTTGCCACAGAGGGCAGGACAAGAGGCAATGGGTTCAAATTGCAACATCAGATTTAGATTAAATCTCAGGAAAAACTTCCTAACTGTAAGGACAGTAGGACAATGGAACAGACCATCTAGGGAAGTCGTGGAATCTCCTTCACGGGAGGTTTTCAAAAAGAGGCCAGACTGCCACCAGTTTTAGACACAAGAAATCCTGCATCTTGGCAGGGGGTTAGACTAGATGACCCTTGTGGTCCCTTCTAATCCTATGGATTTAGGGACTTGTCTACATTACCTGCTGGATCAACGGGCAACGATCGATCCAGTGGATGTTGATTTATCGTGTCTAGTCTAGACATGATAAATTGACTGCCAAGCACTCTCCCATCAACTCCAGTACTCCACCAGGGCGAGAGGCGCAGGCGGAGTCAACGGGAGAGTGTCAGCCGTCGACTTACCGCAGTGAAGACATCGCAGTAAGTAGATCATAGTACGTCGACTTCAGCTACGTTATTCATGTAGCTGAAGTTGCGTAACTTAGATTGATTCCCTCCTCCACCCAGTGGAGACCAGGCCTAGGATTCTATGCTGGAGTGTTATACATTACTGGATGTGCTACAGTATGTGAGGCTGTTAATGGCCATGTACGTGTGAGTACAGACAGTCGTATGATTTTATTTTGTGTGGATTTACTATCTATCTATCTAAAGGCTCATGTATATATACTGGGCCTGCTTCAAAGTCCATTGAAGTCTGCTGGAAAATGGGATATCCAAAGGAGCCTAAGGGAGCTAGGCAATCAACAGAGTTTATCTGAAGACCATTGAAAAGACTCACTCCGGCTGGAGTTTTCAATAGGAGTTGGTTCCCCAGCTCTCTTTGACAGAGTCTTTCCACTTACTTCAGTGGGTTTGGAACAGGACGATAGGTTGGGATTTTCAAAGAGGCCCAAATCCCCTGGAACTGGGTGCCTCAATTACGTCTTCAAAAATCCCAGCCACAGGGTTTAATATTCAAAAGTCTAGTAATATGGGCTGAAATTCTGTGCCTGCTGAGGTTGAAGACAAAAGTCTCTTTGATTTCAATGGGGTCAGGATGCCACTGCTGGTATCTGAGTTCCACTATTCATAGAGGTCAGGGATAATTAGGATCTCAGAATTCAATCTGACCTTTGGGGAAATCTCAGTCCCAGTGCAGCATTCCTTCACAGCACTGGTTTAAGGCAATTAATCAATTACCTGGTATCTTAATCCTTCCCAAGAGTTTCTGCACAATGCGGGGCATGTAGTTGTGATTGGACCCCAGGGTCTGTAAATTGAATTTAAGTTTGTGACATTGCACTCCATATGTTTGTGTTAATATGTTTATGAGTGTAAATATGATATATATCATATGATATATGATATAACTGGAATATGCTTTATGCAAAAGGTCTCTTGTAAGGCATCATTACAAAGCTTATAATCTACTGAGTGTGTTCATCCTATTTGTCTGAATGTATCATTCTAGTATCTGAAACTAGAAAGATGTAGCATAACTCTGAAGTCCTATAGTAATTATGCAAAATGTGGGCCATTAATGGTGGTCTGGAATCTTGATGGCTCCCATTGACTAGGACAATTACTGTAGATGGCTCTGTTTACCTGCAAGCTCCACTGTATATGTGTGGACCAGTCCTGGTAGAATGGAGGGGGGCTCACAGGACATGTGAACATGTCACATGATACTGGAATCCATCTTTAACCTGGTGCTTTTCCATTTAGAAGGAGGGATGGGAACTCAGAGAGAGACAAAGGATTCCTGCCATGTGCCATAGATATAAAAGGGGGTGGAACAGAACAAAGCGGGCTGCCAGTCATGGAAATCCCCTAGTTATCACCTGAGCTGGAACAAGGACTATATCAGGGGAAAGGAAAGGATTAAGAAGGAGTTCAGTCTGTGAAAGAAGCTTACTGGAACATCTGTCAGGGTTAGATTTACCTGTATTCAGTTTCTTAAATGTATTAGGCTTAGACTTGCATGTTTTGTTTTATTTTGCTTGGTAACTTACTTTGTTCTGTCTGTTATTACTTGAAACCATTTAAATCCTACTTTTTATATTTAATAAAATCACTTTTATTATTTAACCCAGAGTAAGTGATTAATGCCTGGGGGGTGAGGGGCAAACAGCTGTGCATATCTCTCTATCAGTGTTATAGCGGGTGGACAATTTATGAGTTTACCCTGTATAAGCTTTATACTGAGTAAAATGGATTTATTTGGGGTTTGGATCCCATTGGAAGCTGGGCATTTGGGTCCTGGAGACAGGAGTACCTGCTGCTTTGGGGACGTAGTTCAGACCCTGGGTTTGTGTTGCTGCAGGCTTGCATGTCTGGCTTAACAAGACAGGGTTCTGGAGTCCCAGGCTGACAGGGAAAACTGGCTCAGAGGTAGTTTCAGCACATCAGGTGACAGTCCCATGGGGTCTCTGTGACCAAACCCATCACAAAGTTGCCTTCTCAAACACTGAAAGGCTGATATAGGGATGTGACTCAGCATAAAGTCATATGGTGAGAGCAGGTCGAAGGGGGTCAGTGCTGTGTAACATGAAGTGGGAAAACTGTTTGCTTCTTCACTGTTTTCCTGCAGTTTCTTGATAAAAATAGCATTTTCTCTCCAGGGAATTAAACAGCTGATGTCTTTCATTGTTTGCTTGAGTCCCAGGATTTACTGAGAAGGGCCCGGTGCTGCCCAAGATGGACATATTATGAGCCTTAACTGTCAAGATGGATGGTCAGGTTTTAAACAGTTCTTCCTTTTGTAGAGAATTCAGCAGCTGGTGAATGAGGGATTCCCAACACGCAGCACAGGGCAAGCTTCCTCCATCTGCTGCTCGCTTCCACCTTTCAGCCTTCACCCATTGGTGCCACCAGCTGGGTTCAAAGGGGAGCTCATGCTCCAAGATTAGTTCAGTGTTTTCCCATTCTGAGCATGCTGCTGAAAAAGCAACTATTAGAGCCACTTTTTGGACTGGTTCCCTGAAATGGAATCCACGGCTACTAGGAAATGGGTGGACGGGCTGATCCCGTAAGTCAATGGGTCGGATTCCCCTCTCACTCACCGTGGTGTAAATCAGGAGTAACCCTTACTAGTGTCAATAGAATGACACTAGAATAAGTAAGTGTAGGAGCAATAGAGTTTCTTTGAATTTACACCAGTGTGGCAGCAGAATCTCTTCTGAATAAGCATACCTCTGTCACATCACAAAGATCCAGATTCTGCAAACCCTTTCTCATGCAATCTGTCTTTACTTATGCAAGTAATCTATCTTAAGTAAATGGGACTTCTCCCATAAGTAAGGGTAAATCAGAAGAGAGGAGAGTTTTCAGGAACATGCTATAATATCCCCAAAATAAAACTATTACCTATAAATTATTGCTTTACTGGGACAAATAATTACTCCCTTGGGGCCCCTTCTTGCTGTACTTGAAGTTGATGACATAATCCTATTGAGCTGAATAAGGCAGGATCAGCCATACAAGTATAGGGCCTGCAAACTCCTCTTAAGGGATCCTAGTACTACTCCTACATCTTCTTCTTCTATTAGTAGTAGTAGTAGGAACAAAGAATGCAGGCCCTCATTGTGCTGGGCACTGCACAGACACACAATGCGGGATGGTCCCTGCTCTGGAGAGTTTATAATCTTAATAGACAGGACAAAGGAAAGATTATTTTACAGATGGGGAATCTGAGTCACAGAGAGATTAAGTCTGATAGTTTCAAAGGAGCCGAAGGGAGTGAGACACCCCAAAGCCAATGAGATTTGGACACTTAACTCCCTTAGTCTTCTTTCAAGACTTACACCCTACATCTCAATACTGTAATAAATCTCTCCCCTGGCAAGATGTCACTGTGGCTGAGCATGCTTCATTCCAGAACCTGCCAGAAAGCTGTGGGCTAGTAGCCAAATCAGATGGATGCAAAAATAACCAGACTCAGCCACTTCAACCTGTGCACTGTAGGGCCCATGATATATGGAGGAGCACTTCTCACTCCAGCCAGTAGGGACTCTCCACTCTAGAACAGTGGGTCTCAACCTTTCCAGACTACTGTACCCCTTTCAGGAGTCTGATCTGTCTTGCATACCCCAAGTTTCACCTCACTTAAAAAACTACTTGCTTACAAAATCAGACATAAAAATACAAAAGTGTCACTGCACACTATTACTGAAAATTGCTGACTTTCTCATTTTTACCATATGTTTATAAAATAAATCAATTGGAATATAAATATTGTACTTACATTTCAGTGTATAGTATATAGAGCAGTATAAACAAGTCATTGTCTTTATGAAGTTTTAGTTCATACTGACTTTGCCAGTGCTTTTTATGTAGCCTGTTGTAAAACTAGGCAAATATCTAGATGAGTTGATATACCTCCTGGAAGACCTCTCTGGGGGAGGGATAGCTCAGAGGTTTGAGCATTGGCCTGCTAAACCCAGTGTTGTAAATTCAATCCTTGAGGGGGCCTTTTAAGGATCTGGGGCAAAAATCTGTCTGGGGATTGGTCCTGCTTTAAGCAGGGGGTTGGACTAGATGACCTCCTGAGGTCCCTTCTAACTCTGATATTCTATGATTCTATGACACAGGCTGATGCAATTTCAATTCTAACCAGTAGGGTACAACACCTGCACCCCCACTGTACAGAGCCAATAGCATACAACGAAGTCCCAGTTCCATTTAGGAGGGTGAAAACTTGGATCAGCTTCAGTCCCAAAATCCAGTCTCCCCCTGGCACTTTGGTTACATTTTTGACTTCCCTTCTCCGTGTCCCATCTACTAGGGGCAGCACTGGAACTGCTGTGGGACAAGTTGGAGCAGTTCTGTTCCCAAGTGCTGCCCCTATTCCAGGTGTATTTCCACATGCACCGGGGAGGGGGAGGGGGGAAAGGTGTGATGGAAAATCCCATCCCTTTCCTGCTGCCCCAACCCAGTGTCACAAATGTAACTTCCTGAGCTTCCTCACGGCCAGCTGCACATCCTTGTTCCTCAGGGTGTAGATGATGGGGTTCAGCACTGGGGTGACAACCGTGTAGAGAACAGAGATGGCCTTGTCCAGGGAAGGAGCGGAAGGGCCGGGCATAGATGTATATGCAAGGCCCAAAGATCAGGGTCACCACGGTGAGGTGGGAGGCGCAGGTGGAGAGGGCCTTGGCACGCCCTTCACTGGAGCGTGTGCTCAGCTTGGCCAGGAGGACAGAGTAGGATACAAGCAGCACCAGGAAGCCCAGGAGAGTCATCAGGCCACTGTTGGACACCATCAGTAGCTCCACAGCAAAGGTGTCAACACAGGCCAGCTTGACTACCTGGGGCACGTCACAGTAGAAGTTGTCCAGCTCGTGGGGGCTGCAGAAGGGCAGCTGGACAATGATGGAGACCTGGATGATGGAGTGGATGAAGCCGCCTACCCAAGAGGCCCCCACCAGCCCCACACACACAGCCTGGTTCATGATGGCCACGTAGCGCAGCGGGTGGAATATGGCCACATAGCGATCGTAGGCCATGATGGTGAGCAGGAAGATCTTGATGCCCCCGATGAAGTGGAAGAAGAAGATCTGGGCCACGCAGCCCCTGTAGGAGATGGTCTGAGCCTGAAGGAGGAAGCCTGCTAGCAAATTGGGAGCAGTGACAGAGGAGTAGCAGAAATCCAGAAAGGAGAGGTTCCCCAGCAGCATATACATGGGGGTGTGGAGCTGTGGCTCACAAGCCACCAGCACCACGATGAGGAGGTTGCCCAGCACCGTCGCGCCATACACAGCCAGGAAGATGACAAATAGGAGGAGCTGGAGCTCCGAGGACTTGGTCAGTCCCAGGAGTACAAACTCGGTCACAGTGCTGCGGTTCCCCTCTTCCATGGAGGCAGCTCGTGCGTTACACACAGACCCTGGGGCCCTGGGGATAATAACAGGGATATTAATGGGAAGGGATAAAGAAACAAGTGCTGAGACCCTGACTCAGTGATTACTGAGGGCCAGACACCCAGGTGCCTCAATGCCTTTAAAACCTGGCCCTCACCTCTTACTCAGGCACTCCTGGTGGAACGAACAAGCCACCTCTTGAGGTTACCTAGTCAAGGGAATGATGCCAATTAACCCCAGCTACGGAGCTGCTCCTTAGCCTTGGAAATAAGGTTCAGGAGACTTGGGCTCAGTCCTCAGCTTTGCTATAGCCCAGCTTTGTGACCTTGGGCACGGCACGTCGGGTCCAGTTCCACAAGGAGCTGAGGCGTGGCCAGGCTGAGCATCACTGCAGCTAATTCCCAGGCCATCACTGGGATTCACATGGCCTGAGCTCGGCGCCCAGGCTCCCTACACAGCGAATGGAGAGAGAAGCGCCTTTGAATGGGATTCCCAAAAGGCAGCATGCTAGGCGGGGAGGTGCCTGAGCTAGCCAATGGGAGATGCCAAGGCAAGGGTATGTCCTAAGCCCCACCCCAAGCAGGAAGTGTGGTGCCTCCCTCTGCTTGGGGGTCACAGCTACAAACCTTCCCTTGGGGCTAGGGAGCAATGCCATTTGTGAAAAGAGCTGCGGTGAGGGGACTCCCCCATAGCATTCAGCCCTGTGGTTAGGGTACCAGCAGGGACACGTCCTGTTCAAGCCGCCCTTTGCCGGTGGGGGAGACAGGGTTTGAACGTGGCTCTGCGCATGCTCTAACCCCTGGGCTGTCAGATACTCTCATTGAGGGGTGGGCACTCGCGCAGTCTGTCCCATCAGAGCTGGGCCACTCTGCCTAAAGAACGAAAGACTCAATGGGTGAGAGGCAGAGAGCCAGAGGGCACAGTCCTCAGAACAACTCAAGCCTGGTGGGCAGAGCACCTGCCTCAGAGGTGGCAGGCCCTGGATCCTCTCCCCCTGCTCCCAGGCCGTTTGGTGTAATCTTACCTACAGGGGCCTGATGCGATAGATGAGCTCAGAGCCCGCCCACGGGATCAGGCCCCACAGATGAGCTGGACGCAGGAACACCTGTCCTTCCCCGGGTTGGGCGTTGCTCTAGGGTTGAGGCATGTGGATACCCAGTGTGCGGCTGCAGTGTGCATGTGCACAGGCAGAAGCAGGTTCCTAAGGAACTTTCACTGCAAAAATATTGGCGCCAAACCAATGTAGGCACCCACAGGTCTTGGCAGCGGCTGAACAGGGGTTTTGGGATCCCAGCGGGGCATGATTCTGGGATGTAGTTCCTGAAAGTGGCAGTTAAGCGCCTAAGTCCTTTTGTGACTCTAGCCCTGCATCGCTCTGCGCCTCAGTTTCCCAATCTGTGAAATGCGGAATAAAATCCTTCCCTCGCTCACAGGTGTATTATGAGGGCAAACTCCTAATGCCTGTGAGGTTACTGTGATGAGAAGCGAATAAGGATCTCAATACAGAGAAAATAATCTCAGCCACCAGGTTAAACCATCATGGTTATCTGGGTAGAAGAAAGATCCAAGGATTTTTAAATGTTAATGTTCACATAGTAACACAAAGTACATTTGAAACAATGACAATATAGTTGCCCTGCTAAATACTGACCCAATTCAGATTATTGAACTATACTGAAGACCCAATTTCATCATATTTAGGAGATATAGATCAGAGGTCTATATCTATGATATGGCCAATCTATATCTTCATCATAGATATAGACAAATATTCTTGTATGATCTCCTTTTCTTGATTTGTATCAAATAAACAGCTCATGATTAGGTTGATTTTATCACATAAATACTTAATGATATCCTGATTTTATCAGGTGAAACATCTCCGTGAATAATCAAGTATCTTATGAAAAAAGTTAATTTAATCAAATATCTCCTAAATATGATGATTTTATCAAATAAATACAGCAAGATTAGATTACTGTTATCAAATAAATATTCACAGTAATATATTGATTTTCCAAGAAAATTGTCTTGTAAATACATTTTCATTAGATCATCTTGTCTGACCTCCTGTATATCAGAGGACAGAGAATTTCATCCGGTTACCCCGGTACTGAGGCAGATAATTTGTGTTTGATTAATGTAGACCTTGCATTTGGCTAAAGAATATCTTCCAGAAAGGGAGACAGTCTTGATTTTAAGATGTTATAATATATATCTGTATATATTATGAATGTATGGATTTTATCAGATAAATATCTCAGGAATGAATTGATTTTAACAAACATTAAATGAATATACTGATTTTATCAAATAAGTATCTCATAAATCAGTTGATTTTATCAGATAAAAATTCACACATTTGTGGTAATATCAAATGATTATAGCAAAAGATGTTGATTGTATCAAATATCTTACAAATATGTTGATTTCTATTTAACTATCTTCATACAAACCACTCTCTCTCCCCCCATACACACCTATTTATCCATCTATCCATCCCCATACACACATATCTATCTAAATCCATAAACACCCTCTATTCCATCTATCTATACATAAACCTATCACCACAAACACCCCTCTATCAATCCAACTATCCTTCATTCTATTCCCACACACACCACTCTACTTTCTCCATCCATCCCCATAAACATCCTCTATTGATCCATCTTTCCATCCATCTATCCCCATAAAAACCGTTCTCTCTATCCATCTATCCATCCCCATGTACACCCTATTTATCTAATCTATCTATTCCCATACACACTCTGCTATCTATTCTCATACCCACCCCTCTATCCATTCATCTATCCATCACCATACACACCCTTCTATCTCTTGCTCTTTCTCTATTCCTATACACACTGATCTATCTCCATGCATACCCCGCTATCTACCTTCTTGCCTTTTGAAACTCCTATTACTGTAATCCCCTCCCTCCAGCACCCACCCCCTCCCCATGCTACACCACCTCTGAGTATCTCTGAATCATCCAATGGCTGTCAGAGATTCCCAGCTCAGTTTCCTGCACTCCCATTTACCTGCACATCAGCTACCCAGGGGTCAGTCCCCTCTGGCCCTTGGTGCCTCTCCTCCTATGCCCATGGAGTTCCTCCACTGATGGACTTGTCACCATGCATCCCAGCAGTTCCAGGGTCTTCTCACCCACCAGTCAACACTACTGGAGAGGGTCTGAGGAAGTCAGCTCTGGTGAGGTTGAGCCATCCCCACCACGGAGCATCTCACACATGCATCTCCTGCTGTCAAAGACCAGAGTGCTGCCAGGGAGAGACCCAGTTGGTGATCTCAAATTGCCTTGGGAGGAGAGCTGGGACCATGGGTACTGTGCTCAGAGGTGCAGCTGCAAAGGGGATTATTATAGCAGGCCACCAGCCTCTGCGGTAATTAAAACCTGCTTTCTGTTCAAAGCTCAACTTTTCTAAGGCTACATCTGCACTACGAGCTCAGGGTGTGGTTCCCAGCTCATACACACATACTTGCACGACCTCTCACCATGCCAGCATGCTAAAAATAGTAGTGTAACACGGTTGCATGGGCAGTGTCAGCATTGTGCTAGCCTCCCAACGTACAAACCCGCCAGAACCCCGTGGGTACATACATGGCATGGCTAGCTCACAATTTTTAACACGCTAACTCAGCTGAGAGCTAGCACGAGTATGTCTGTGGCAGCTGGGAATCACACCTCTGGCTCATAGCATGGACATAGTGTAAGTGATTTAAAATCTGTACAGTTAGATTGTCTTGACGTTTGGCGTGCCTTAGCGTGCTCAGGGTAGGGCAAGGGATCCAGATTTGGGGTCGTTTCAACCAAGGGGTTCCTGAGATACACCCCCCACCCCACCAAACTGCCTTTCTCCTAATGGGGGGCTTCTACCTTTTTTCTTTTCCCCCCAGACGTGGGGCTCGAACCATGGCTTTGATCCGGGCACAGGACTGTAGTTGGACATGTGCCCCAGATAGTGCATGGCACCCAGTGCTCCTCTGGGCGGGAGCACAATTGAAAATGAGATTGGCACGAGAGTTATGCTCTCACATTGGGCACGTGCCCGACACACACAACCCAGACAGATTATACCGAGCATGTGTGGACAGAACAGCCCAGAGGCAGTCTCACCTGCCTTTTTTCCCCCCACAGCAGCTAGTTGGCTCAAGGGGCTCTGCAGTAGCCATTGATCCTGACCAACACCCAGCCAGCACCAGCTGGGGCCCAGCATAGGGCAGGGATCTGAAAATGGACTTCAGGCATGCTGCTAAAACCCATCTCTGTTGGCAGCGCAGGGTTACTCTGGGAAACATACCCATCCCGCTTCTGAAAATAATGTAACTCAAACCTGTGAATGCTTGCCAGGAGGGGAGAGGCGTTTGGGGCTGCAGTGAGGGGAGGGTGAGACATGGAGATGGGAGGAGAGAGGGGCTGCGGGGCACAGGTATGGGAGAAGGGGGCGAGGATATGGGGAGTGGTAGGGGAGGGGTGGGACACTAGAAAGGCGGACATGGGAGTGGGTGGCAGGGGGAAAGGGGCAGGATTTCCTGTCAGCCCCATATTCTTCCCTCGCATGTGTGTGCCAGGATCTGGGGTCCTCTGACCCTCTGGGGGGGTGATCCCCGTCCTTGCACCTCCTCATGTGAGCCAGGATGGTGGGGCTTGCCCCTCTGGGGGTGTCTGAGCACCTCTCCCTGCTCCTCGTGTATGTGCCATCTACGGGGCTGTGAAACCCTAGCTCTGGACAGCCATGTGGCACAACAAGGCATGGGAACTACCTTTTCCATAGGCAAAACAGTCTCTCCTAGCCCTCTCTGCGTCACCCCGATTAGTTCTCTGACATTGGTGCTTTCCCTTTAGCAGCAAGAAGAGCGTCATTACACCAAATCTGATATCCTCTGTTAACACTTGGCCTCCAGGCCTTAAGGCAGAACAGAGACCATGGCTGATGTCTCGCAGAACAAGATCCCCTTTCTACACATTAGCTGAG